TTTTTACTTCTCTTTTTCTCTCTCTTTTTTTTTTCTCTCTCTCTCTCTCTGTGTGTATGTGTGCACATATTTTCACCAGATCCATTTGAGTTAATATTAGACTGTTTTTAATGATAACTCACGTGCGGCTTTCTTATACGCTTCGACGACTTCAGCCACAGCCCCCTCCACTGGAATTTCAAGCCACTCCTTCACCATTTCATCATTTACAAGTCCAATGTTCTGCAAAGAAGCGATGATGCGACCTGTAAGAGGTGCCTGTCCATTTGTAGACATATCTGCTAGGTACTGAAGAGTGACGGGCGCCAACATGGCATTCTCATTCTCCGGTGGTCTTTGCAGTTTGTGCCAGAAATCCATCAGCGTGTCGAGTGTCGATTCATCCCGCACACGAAGCATACCGTACGCCGTACAGAGCACACGTGCCGCATCGTAATACATATCCGCAACAAAATCTCCACGACAAGCAATACACAACATTGTAATGAAGCGCTCGCTAAACTTAGGAACATCTTCCAGAATATCTTCCTCAATGGCGGAGACGAGAGCCATTGCAAAACCATCGAGTACTTCATCATCTGCGAGAAAGAGGCCTACCGTAAGAAAGCTGCATGCCTCATGTTGTGCTTCTTTCTTAGTGGTCATACAAGCCTCACGAACCACTTCTGCCGCTGCTGCCTTGCAAAGATCCTCTTCCGAATCAAAACGTCGTTGGCAATTTCGGAATTCATTCATCCATTCATGAATAAAATCATTTGTGCACTCCGCAACCCACTCCTGGAAAAGTGATCGTACACGTGCCTCAAATGAAACGGATTCCGTATTTCGAAGAAGAAGACCATCACGTTGTTGCCCTGCGGGTTTCACAATACTGCTCCAATTACGTCCACCCGTTGAATCTCCGCCAGCAGCAAGAGATGCAGCCTCACCCGGTGGGTTTGGTGCCGTATCTGGAAATGCAGCCTGTTTGTTCTTTTTAGCTCCGCTTGTGGGTGTATTGCCAGAGTTAAGTGTAGCCGGAGAACGTGTAGGGGGTTTATCCGTCACTCGTTGAGGTTCCTTCGATGTATTGGAGTTCTTGGAATTTGCTACCGTTGTTGTTGTCGCCGCTGCTGCCGCTGCCGCCGCACGTGGCTCCCAATTTAAGTCACGTCGTAATTCAATAAGATCAAGAATCTTAAATCGAATACGTGCTGTGTACTTTTCTTGGTTCTTGAGAACCTCCAACTTTTTAAAATAAACGTCCAACTTGGGACGTACATCAGGAATAGCATCGAGACTCTCTCCAATGGTCAAGAAAAGTTCTGTAAGGAATTCAATATCTTCACTTGCAGGATCCCCAGCATTTTCTTCTCCTTGCATTATAGTTTGAACAATATTCATCATGGTATGATGTGAAAGAACCTTATGCATAAATAATTCTCCAATAAACTTCATGTTTGCTCGTTTACGACGCATAAAAGAGGATCGTAACTGCTCCTTTTCATCCTCTGTGAGTCTATCAAATGAAGGCATCTTACGACGACTAAGAAATTCCTCTTGTGCGATGCCAACAACAGCGTTACGTAGTTTAGAATATTTTTTACCATCTACAGGCTGTGTTGAAACAGATTGACTCACTTCAAATTCTGCTAACTTGTAGCAAACACCTGCGTACCACTTACTACACTCTGGTTCTTCAAGTGCCTTCTTAAAGATAATTTCCACCGTCTTATTTAATGTTTCTTCCGTAGAGAAGATAACATCTGTCTGCAACTTTTCCAGCATCTTATCAAAGTTCGCTGCGCTCAACTTATTAAGAGAACCCTGCACCAGTCGCTGTACCCATTCCACCGTTGTCTTTGCCGAACCGCCAGCAACCCACGCGTTGGCACCCCGCACAAGTTTCGATTGGGACATCTTCTTTCGCCGACATGCCTCCTCAAGTGAAAAGTCGGGGTACGGTGGGTCCTTGTAAAGGGGACGCACGTCAAGAATCTGTTGGATTGAGTAAACGTGCATTTACAATTGTGTTTGGCCTAAACAAAAAGCAAAACAGAAAAAAAAATTTTATGGTGAGAGACTCAAAACACACACACACACACACGGTTTCTCTCTCCCTCTCAATAAAAGCAAGAAAAAAAAAATATATATATATATTTAAAGATATATTGTATGTATGAGAAAGTTACTCGGATTTTCCTTTACACTTCCGTCTTTGACTATGCAATGGTAGAATAGGAAAAAAAGGAAAAAATGAAAAGGAAATAAAATAAGAAAAAATGTCACACATACCTTTAAAAACCATCTAATCATGTATTCCCTATTCCCTTTCCATTTCCACAGCCATTGAGGAAATAAGAGAATTAAAGATAATAAATGGATAGAAGATATGAGTAAAAGACATTATACTCACCTTTATTGTTACAATAAGCAATCATTCGTGCCACTCACACAAAAACAGACAAACAACGAAAAGAAAAACAACACACAAACAGAGAAACTCACTTAAGATTCGCAATAGAGTTTATAAGATCATCAACATCATAAGGCACATCATTACCACTAAAAACACAACTATCCACATTTGTGGAGCTCAATTTCTCATCTTTACATGTCTGGTTATTGTAGTTATGCTCATACCGTGGACGTTTATCATTTCCTAAACCTGACGAGGACGTCGTTGCCGCATTAATGTGTCTCTGTGCCTCTGCAATTCGCTTTGGCAAGAAGCCCAACTCTAGTCTACCCCGTTCCATATCAGTTACCACGGCGTGACCATGCAACCTCCACTTGCGACTATTTGCCACCGCCTTACGGGCTTCTGCTTCCAATCCAAATTGAACGAAACCATACCTACGACTCTTTCCCTTGTAATCACAAATGAGACGTACACTTACCACCCTACCAAACCGCTCACAAAACAATCGAATGTCCTCTTCTATAGTCTTTGGATGCAAATTTGACACCACTACAGTACGCTTAGGATCGGAACAAATCTTGTTATCCTCATAAGGATTTCGACGCTCCATCTCTTCTTTTAATTGTTGTAACCAAATAGTTTTCTTGTCTTTTGGTTCTTCTTTAGATTCCGTAGTACTTGGTGTAGGTGGTAGTACTTCAGTTGAAACTAGTTCCAATGCTCGCTTGTAAAGATGATGAACAGGAGCTTTAGTGGTAGGTTTTGGTTGAGGTGGACGGGATTTGGGTAAAAACGGCGGTGGTGGTCTACTTTGAAAGAAAGCTGCCTTCCACCGCGCATGTTCTTCCGCCCGCCGCTTAAGCGCCTCCTCACGTCTAACGTCCTCCTCTCTAGGAACCTGCATACACTTTCCCTTGGATGTGTAAAAAAAAAATATATATATATGCATTGTATATACATATAGACACCAAAATGGTAAAGAGCAAAAAAAAAAATGAAAAAGAAGGACGGGGGATGGTGGTAATAACAAAAAGAAGAAGAATAAGAAGAGTCCGTACACAAAGGGAGAAAAAAAAAAAACAATTTGCAAATAAAACATAATTGAAAGATATACGTTTTATATAGAAAACTGAGCTTTGTTTCAGTGTAAAGTGACTCTAATTGAAAGCCTCATATGGTGGATATAATTCTCACATGTAACTATGAGTTTCGAATCTCTACTCTACCACACTGACCAAAAACAATAACAAGAATAACACTAACACAAAAATTAAAAAAAAGGGGGCGAAACATATATAAAATATCACTCCCACTAACTTTCATCGTTGGAAAGTTAACAAAATAAATAATAATAAAAAACTGGGGAAAAAAAGAATTGGAGCCATGATGCTCGTATGTTCTCTTCTCTATCAATTGGTTAGTTTATTTCTTTGTTTGTTTCACTGTTGAATAGGAAAACTATATATATACATATAGTAAAAGATAATATAAACAAAATAAAAAAAAAAAGAAACCGGAGCAAGGCAGTTGTTTTTTTTTTTTTTCCTTTTCTATCTATCTAAAAACTGCACTCTATCCCAGACCCTCTTCTACGCGACCTCCTCATCCGAGTCATCCCCTGTTGTGGGGTTTGCTCCCATGGATGCGGTGTCCTGTATGGCTGGTGCCTGGACGTAGCAGTAGAGTTTACCTTTCGGTTTAGTAACGAGACCCTCCGCTTGGAATCGCAACCACATGGCTGAGGCCCGAAAAATATCGAGTTTCACAAGACTGCGCAATTCCCCTGGCGAGAGACGGAGGCCGGCGAGACGTTTGCCAGTGCGTCGTTTCATAAGCTGCCGACGGGTCTCTGCGTAAACGAGCGGAGGGACGTGCCACTCATGACAGAAGGCGGCCTCTGTTGAACTGAGGGCCCCCCAGCCATTCTCATCTGTGTTGTCGCTGCTGCCAGTACTGCCAGTATCGGTTTTATTGGTTTTACTCGTGTTGGGGGTGTGTTTGCCCATAAGAACGGCGAAGGCAGGGACGAGATTGGTGAGATACGAGAGGCCAATCACCCACGCCTCCATCTCGGTAACGGTATCACAGGCGAATTCCACCGTAGTGGAGGACCCACGACGTTTATAAACAACACCCCAACTGAGATAGAACTGCGCAACAGCAATATCACTGGCATTCTTAATATCACCGGTTGCCCGTCCAATTTGCAGATGTGTAATGGAGCGCAGTGGAATGTAACCATCTCGGCTCAAGGAGCCCAGGGTGGACCAACAGAGACGATCTTCACCATCCTTATTCTCAATATAGAGCAATCGTCGATGGGTTGTACCATCACGGGAGTATTTTAAAACCTCACCACCCATCTTCACAAAGGAAATCACCTCCTCTCGGAGTGTATCATCATCATAACGTGTAGACCTCTTGCGTTTTTTACGTTGGCGATTTTCTTCAGAAGGTTTTTGCTGCCAGTACTGTCGTGGATGTGGGGCAATGTAGCCATCCACTAGTACTTCATCAGCATCAGCTGCTGAAATCTTGCGTTGTCGTCGTTTTTCCTTCCTGTTGGAAATCACCACTGCATTACCTGCCATACCCCATACAACGTGTCGCAACCATTCATATACAGCTTGTGATTGTTTGTTCGTAACCAGCCGTTTCTCTTTCTTCATTTCCACAGCAAGTCGATGGGTTTCACAAATCAATTTAGACAATTCAAAACGCAATTTTGCCGATTCTACAGCTTGAATTGCTTGAGTTGAAAATCGCTCCCAGCAAGCCTCTTCACGTTGTTCCTGTCTCCATAGGAGTACAGTATCATCTTCATTTTTATCTACTCTAGTACCATTCTCATTTGATTGCATTATTTGCTTCAATTCTTCTCTTACGGATGAAAGTTTATTTTCGACCTGTTTTAAACCATTCACAGCGGTATTATACTCTACTTGAATACTACGACGTCTAGCACGAGCCTCTCCAAGGTCAGAAGCTGCCTCTTCAAGACGTTTATTCCATATTTCCTCATCCGTAATACCATTAGAATTTATTGAACCTGTAATACCATTGATAAGATCATGTAATTCACTTCTCCTTTTTTTCCATCCCATAACTGTTTCATCTCTAACTGTACGCCTTACCATTTGATTCTCTTGTTCTTGTTCTAATATCCAATTTCGACCTCCATCCAGAGAAGTTTTAAAGGCATCACATAATGTTGAAATTGCCATTTGTTGAATATCAGATTTAGGTCTTCTTATTCTAAATATAAAGTCATATAACACGTTCTTTGGGTCACCAGCAACGACGGGAATAACTTGAGGAGCTTTAAATCTATGTAGCACACTAGCAATACGTAGATCTGAAGTTAACTCATCATGCTTTCTTAAAGAAGATAAATACTCATATACCATTTCATTAGATCCAAAAGAACCACTTCCACTACTTGGACCTGTTTTCACCATTTTAACTTTGTCTGCAAAATAAAGAGTAGAAAGTGTTTCATCAACTGTAAGAACTGTAGGACTCACATTTACAATAAGAACAACACGAGCATTTGGTGCAGCAAATGAGTCACGAAGTACAGTTGTTAGTTTTGAGTCACGATATGGAATATGTCTAGATCCCTCATGAAGACAGTGTACAACATTACCGAGGGAAGTAAGAGATGCGTTAATCTTTTTAAGCTCATCAAAACCTTCACCCTTGACACTAGAGTTGCGAGCCTTTTCACTACCAGCCAAGTCTGCAAGTACAAGCTTGCTGTACATAATTGGAGCTTCAGGTGGTCCAAAAAGACTATTAGAAGCACTTCTAAAAAGATCATGTGACCTCAATTTTGGTGTTTTTCCTTCTAACTGATTAAGTTGCTCTAAATCTCGTAAGGATAAAACATCAAGAAATCTCATCGGTCGTCGACTTATCGGTGTGATAGGCTGTTGAAATACTTCAATATTAAAAACTGCATGAGAACGCGATGAAGTATCATTCGCAGAGGTCATACGTTGTGCTCGTTTTGATGTTGCCTTTTGAAAAACCTTCAGTCCATCATGAAGACTAAGGATAGGAAGACATGTTAATTTTGGAAATCGTACAATATCTTTCATAACTGCCATTTGAATAACAGTAGGTGCTTGTTCATCAGATAATAAATCACGCACCTCATCAAGATAAATCTCTACAGCAGATATTCCAATAATGATATGTCGGTTATTCTTGTTAATTTCTGCAAAGTGAAGAATATCTTGCAGACTACGCAGAAGAATACCTGTTTCATCTGTAATAATATCATCACTCATTGGACTCTTACGTATACCTCCAAGTACGGTGTATGTTTTTCCACTACCTGTTTGACCATAGGTAAGGACAGTAACATTTGTACCAGACAAGACAAGGTCTACAGCAGAAGTAACGAGTTCTTCATAAATTTCTTCTTGTGTGGTATTCTCGTCGAATACACTGTCGTATCCAAAAAAGAACGTTCTGCTATCTCTCGTTGCCCGTCCATCCCAAAGACGTAATGTTTTCTCAGATAACTGCGAACACGCCATCTGTTCATAGCGCTCCGCTGACTGTAAAGCATTTACGACGCCATCCAATCTTGGACGAATCCGCACACCCACGGTCACAGACTTGGATTCTTGCAGCATACACTTCCCTTTTCTTGATTTCTGCGGATTTGAGAAGGTTATCAGCCTTTGTGAGGTAAGAAAACGAATTAAATAAAAAGGAAAAGAGAAAATATATAAATAGAAAGAAAGAAAAAGAAAAATGGTAAAAAATAAATAAATAAATAAATAATAAACAAATTAAAGGAAACAAATAAATAAATAAGTAGTAGTATATACAGATATATATATAGAGAGAAGTATGATAATAACAACTAGAGGGAAAAAAAAGGCAACGCAAAGAAAAATAACTAGCATAACAAGAAAAGAGAAAAGAAGAAATAAACAGCATTTTACCGATGCTTCCCCCCTTTCCAGTGCAAAGAAAAGGACCCACTATATCGCAAAAACGACTCCCTCCTCCATAAGTCCTTCAATAGCAGGTTTAATCAGCATGCGTATCATACCCTCCACCTTGCTGTTCGCACCAGGCACAGAGCTAAAGTTTGAAATAACACTAAAATGCTTAAGTGGATCCCCAAAAAGTTGCACCTTCACCATTCGACGCCTCACCACAACTTTCTTCAGTAAAATATCCGCAAAAGATGGCGTGCTCCCCCGTGCTGGTGGAGAGGAGCGTGAGGTTCCCCGCACATAACTATCGCTATCCACCGTGGAGAGGGATCCCTCAATGTTGTCCAGCACACCCGGCGGCCGCATCGCCCGGCGACCCCCACCGCCCAACAACACACCGTAACCAAACCGGCCACGTGAACTCAACGATCGCAGCGGCCGCGAGGGGCGCAGTGCGGAACTTTTACTACTTCGCGGGGTCACGGTATTGTGAACAGCTACATTAGATCCCTGCTCCCACTGCGGGTTTTCCTCCATCTCATGAAATACTTCAATCGATATCATTCCATCAAGACGAATATCCTGAAGTGTCATCTCAAAAGGACAAAAAAAAGGAAGAGCAAAATTAGCATCCGCCTCCTCTGCACTCGCCCCTACAGTATCTAAGTTAATTTCCAATCCACGTAATCGTACAGAAAAGTCTCCATTATATCGCACCTTTACCATAATGGCCGTGTGCTCCGCCGAGAGTACGCGAATACTGCTAAGCGCTATCTCTGGTGGAATACAACCCATATTTAATTCGTCAACACTAACTACTCCTCGAATTTGTGCATTTTTTCCTCCAGCCATCGCATTTCCAATGGCTTTTTCTATAGTTTCCCGTATTACTTCCTTACTTTCTGCAGACCAGGTCTTTGGCCACTCCCATTGAAGCATTCCCCCCAATTAATCTCCTACACCAAGAAGTTCAAACATAAAACAAGGCAAAGGCAAATAAAGAACAAAATGGTATAAAATAAAAATTGTACAATAATTAAAAAAAAAAAAAAAATGGCAATAATAACAAGAAATAAATAATAATAGTAACAAGATATTAATAATAATAATAATAATAATAAATGGTACTCAAAAGATAGAGAATACTTCAACGTGGACACCAGTACCTCGTTCCCCCTCCATTCATTGATCGATTATTCTCTCTTTTTTTTTGTATTTGCTTTCCCAGCATTGTTGCAAAGTTCCTTAAGCGAATAGATGAGTAGACAAAACACACACACACACCCACATACAGTCCTACAGAGAGAAGGAGAGAGTTTGATAAGACACCACAAACCTTTAGACACGCCGCTCCCCTGGTGAACGACCGAATGGGATTACACTACCTTGCATACTTCCCACATCCACTGCCCCCTTACCTATTGGTTTTGTGTACTGTCCAAAACGACGAAGCACCATATCACGAGGCTGAAGTTTCCATTCGGCTCGAAGTTGACGAAGAACATGTGGAGCTTCTTGAATAACAGGAATATCTTCATCATATGATAACGTTTTCTCATCCGTGCCTTGTCGTAAATTATCTATAGCAGTAATGAAAGAAGTAATGGTGGGTGAATCCCCAAAAGATTCTACACAAAGATTTATGCAAATATTAGTATCCTCGTTTGGTTCCACTTTAAGAAGAGTAAAAAGATTAACTATTTCCTCTGTCATGGCGATTGATCCATTAGGAGGAGTCGCATTTGAATTAGCTAAAAGTAGTGAATTAAGCATTCGGGTCGTGAGAGGTTTCCCAAATCCTACTAACTTTTTTAATACTCCATACCCTGTGGCAATAGCACCTAAATGAGCGCATATCTCAAGGAACTGATCATAGATTGGTGAGATGTAATCCACACTACTTCCTACTTCTTCTAAACGTTTTATTATCCCTTCACATCTTTCTAACATAGCTATATTTGGCTCTTTACAGTGAGCACATGCTTGAATAAAGAGAAGTGTCATTTCTGGAGTTGGATTTATATTCATGTGAACAAAATACTGATCATATATAGCCAGTGCAAGTTCTCCATCTTTTTGAAGAGCACAATGCATAAAAGCTAGAGTAAATAAAACAAAATCTGGTGTTAAACCTCGAGGTCCTAACTGGGAAAAGAGGTCTATTATGTAATCACCAAAATCTGCAATTCCTCTAAGAGCATAAATTAACCAGTGAAAACACTCTAATGAGAGACTAATACCAGCAGCATCTGAAAAACTTTGTGCCTTAAGAACTAAAGTAGGTTCTTCAATAGCGCAACACATACGCATATATGCTTCAATAGATCTTGTTGTGCGTTCTAATTGATAAAAATCAAAGAGAGCCCAAAGTTCAAGACCACGTTGATTACATAGTTCTCGTCGTTGTTGCCACTCTTCTGCATTACTCCCTGTCTCATTATTTTCCATATAGTTCTCTGCATCAATAGCACAGAGTATCATAGCCTTATCTAACATGGTTGCCCGTGGTTTTAAGTTTCGTGTGATTACTTCTTCCATAACAGACATTCCCTCTTCCACTCGCCGTGAAATTACACAGAGTTCAAGCAAAGCATCAAAAAAGTATGTGTTAAGTATAAAAACATCGGGAGACTCCATCTCCATTTCCCGTGCTCGTGCAGCGTAAATATCCCATCCATCCTCCCATTTACCACTTGCAGCAGCACATAATACCATCTCTGCATGTGTCTCAACTCCAACTTCTACAGGTGGGATGTTTGTTACGATAAGACGTTCAAACATTTCAGCAGCGCATTGAAAACTTGCGTGCCGCTCCCATTCTTCTAACATTTCAATCTGCTGACGTTGATAACGAATTAAAGCAGCACAACTCTTGTCAGGTAGAGGAACACGTTGATACAAAAAATCTGTGAGAAGTCTCCCTGGTGTTGGGAGCATACGGGCGTGTCGAATAAGTTTGTCAATATCAAGAATATGCATATCACGTTTAAAGTATCCATATCGAGCATAACGAAGGTTCTTCGCTAGTGCTGTTTGATTATAAATGTGTTTCATGTGTGGACGGTCGGGGTCAACCCACACGCGGTGTGCCTTCTCAAATCCCGGTTCACCACCATAGAGCCCCATAGCGGCATTTGTGAGTGCCGGTCGGTGCAATTCGCGATAGGCGGCACTTCGGTGGTGTTCCCGCTGTGTCTGCGTGCTGTCAGCCGTATCATCATACCACAGTACGGTATTCACATTAGTGTTAGTGTTATTGTTGTTGTTGCTATTACTAGTGTTAAGGTTATTGTTGTTATGGTTGTTGTTGTTATTGTTATTATTGTCCGTGTCCGTGAGGGCGTAGCGCCGCGCCGCGTCTACCGCCAGCGCCGCGAAGGAACTGCAGAGAGCCGTGCGGGTAAGCATCGGGAAGAGACAGACTATGGGAAATACATATAAAGAGAAAGAAAAGAAAAAGAAAAGAGGTGTAGCTTCAAATATACGTGCAAAGAAGAAATTGGCATTGATTCAATGTACACTCTCAGAGAGTGTAAACAAAAAAAAAAAAAAGAAACATACCGCAATGGGTCACACCTGCAGAGATTGCAACATCAGTCCCTCTTTTTTTTTTTTTTTTTGGTTTGCAGGGTTGTTCCTCTTCTTGTTGTTGTTGTTGTTTGTCATGCATTCTTTTACATCAAGGTCACTTTTTTTCTATTCTCTCTCTTTTCATTTTCTCTATCTCTCTACCTCTCTGTCTATCTATCTCTAGACGTCTCATCAATATTTATTTTTTCACCAAAAAAAAAGAAATAATCACTCAGAAAGGAGAGAAAAAACTGAAGAAAGAAAGAAGAAAGAAAAAAGAAAGAAAAAAAAAGAAAAGAAAGTGACCTTCTCCTACAGTGTAGGAGGTTTTACTGTAATGCCCTTTGAACGGGCCTCTTCCTCCAGCTTTGTTGCTATCTCACGCAGACGAGCCAACTCCGCCCGCTGCATTGCAATCTCTCGCGCTGTATCTTCTTCATACGCAGAAGCACCAGAGGGATCTGTGGTGCGCCAAACACCCGCTTTAGCAGCCAGTAAACGTGCCTCCTTGCGTAGGTCATTAATCTCTTTAACGAGAATAACGTTTTCACTGGTGATACGGTACTTGTCGCCACGATTATTCTCTGCATCCTTGTTCACACGATTTTTTAGTCCAACAAGATTCCGCTCCAGATGATCACGTTCACGATTATACTCCCGTACCTCATCTGCAGCAGTACGAGAAGAGAGTGATCGGCTAACAGCAACCGCTTTATTGGAAGTGTATTTGTCATAGAGTAATTTCGCCGACTCTTTTAGTTTACGTGGGTTTTCCTCATCACGTAGATCACACAGTTCTGTCCAAAGTCGTGATTGATACTCTGCGAAACCACGCATTCCCGATGCAAGTTTCTCAAGTTCTTTTTGTTGACCCGCCTTCTTTTGACGCAGATTACGTATTTGTAGAACAAGGTGTTCATTACTGTGGGTATACTGATCGGCTTCTTTTCCCATCTCAGCAAGTCGTCCCTTTGCTTGTCGAATCTCCTCATCACGGGGATCAATCTGTGATTTGAGTTCCTTTATTTTGTACTCTAGCACAAACTTAAACTTCTCCAGTTCTTGATTTTTCTTCTTGAGATCAAAGACACGCCTTTCTTTTTCAGCTATGGTTTCTCCACGATCTCTGAATTCGTGTGTGAGTGCCTCAATATCTCTTTTAGCGGCTTCTATTTGTGACTCCAAAATCCCTTGTTGACGGAGTTTTTCACGAACCTCCGCTTTAGTGGCTTCCAAATCGGCCTTTATAATATTCTCACGTGATAGTAAGGCGTCATTAGCAGCTCGTAAGGAAGAAATTTCTTCATCTTGTTCCTTTCGTAATTTTTCAACATTTTCTTTTAACGCCGCAACCTCTACATCGGTGTCTTCCTCAATCATCTCACAGTAATTGTCTGTAAGTTTTTCATCCTCTTCTTTTTCCATAAGAAGTTTTTGATGTCTTTCATCTATTTCACTTATAATACGACGTTGATTTTCCTTGTCTTCTTCACGCAGACGTGCGGCATTTTCACGTATCTCTTTCATTTGTGCTTCATGTGCACTTTCTCGTTCTTCCAATAATTGTCGTAGTCTATCTGCGCGTTCACGAAGTGATTCTATTTTTGCGCTGTAATCTTCCTTTGTACGTTGTAAATCTTCCTTTTCTTTCTTCTCCATTTCCACCATAAACTCTGTAAACTTGATCGCTTGTTCATTCTTCTCGGACTTGAGCGCCTCATACTGGGCGAGACGCTGCGCCTTTTCCTCTGCGTACTCTCGCTCTAATTTAGCAATCTGCTCTTCGTGAACCCGATCACGTTTCATCTGTTGTTGTTGCATACGCTGTTTCAGTTCATTCGCCTCAGCGTTCAGTGCGGCAACTTTTTGTGTAGATGCCTCTAAATCACTACGGGCCATAAATAACTCACGAGAATATTCAATTTCCTTGTGAGGTCCACGATATGGGGCTACCACATTCCAGAAAACCACAGCTCCATCTTCGCCAACACTAATCACCATAGATTCATCAAATGTTAACGCAAGAGAGTTTACAATACCGGCATGAGCATTGTGGGATTCAATCATAATACCCTCCGTATTTTCTCGTTCTCGTTCATTTGCAGATAATTTTTCCGCAAGATAAGTATTGAAAACACGAACTGTACCATTTTCACATCCACCAATGAGCAACTTTAGTTTAGAACTAATAGCCATAGAGTATAAAGAAGCATTTTGTAAATCATACTCTCCAACTTGTTGTAATTTCGTACGCTCAAATTGACGAAGTTTTCGGTCGTTACCAGCTGCCCATATTGTTCCTACATCAGCCACAGCACAATTGTACATCATTGCCTTAAGTACATTATCATTTACTTTGTGGAAATCACAAAGATTAAACTCATACACTGCCCCATCAAGACCTACAGAAACTAATCTAGTATCATCTGGTGGTACAAAGTAAATACTTCTCACTTTTCCACTATGACCACGTAAATGACCCAAAAGTTCACAAGTATAGGTGAAATAAACATGAATTGTAGTTGCATGAACTGCTGCGAAAAACTGACCACCACTACTAAATCGGCACTCCATACAAGAACGAATTCCGATGTTTTTGAACTCTCTAATGTCATTATTGTATAAATTCATCATTCGAAGACCATCGGCAAGACCCACAAGTAAATGAAGACCTGATGGATGCATAGCTATACTATAAATATCTGTTGGGAAACGTTTACGAAACTCCACAACACCAGTTATGAGATTCCAAAGAAATATACACCGATCACGTCCTGCAGTAACTGCAAAAGGACGTTGAACACAAACATCTACTCCAACAATAGGTCCTGAATGAAAAGGTTGTCCAATAGGTTCAAATACTCGTTCATCAGATTTAAAAAAGTCAGCATTGGGTAGGTTAAGAGAGTACAATTGTTTCGTACTTGTCATAAAAGAAACATATTCTTCAGCAGGTGGTGGAGAAAGTGTAAATGCAAGAATAACAGGAATAGTTTCACTTGGTGCTCCCATATTTTCTGAATCGCTGTTAAATTTAAAGGTTCGCACTTTACGATACATCTCTTTATTATCTGTTCTTTCAAATATACTAATAAGACCCATATCTCCTCCGCATATAAAACCTTTACTATATCCTACAAGAGTATTAATGGAAATTCCATCAGATGGAGATAGTGGTAATGGGTACTTGTATTCATTATTTTCCATTAAAACAAGATCACCACTTTCTGTAGATAAAATAAGTCGATTTTCTGATGGAATCCATAAATGTGCAAGATAATTCGTTACAGGTTCCCGAAGTCCACCGGAGGTTGGTCGTAATTGATTCTCTCGTAAAGCGAAAAACCTTACCAAACCATGACCAGAGACACAAACGAGAGAAGGATCATTTGGGCAAATACTGCATTGATTAAGTAAACGCGGATCAGGTGAGAGTTGATCCCCATCATCCAGTACAGAACAGGAGGTTAATACCTTTCCTCTTTCTATACTCCAGTAAACAAGATTCCATTCGGGGGATCCACCTAAAGATACCAAATGTCGTCCATCCTGAGAAAAGCAGAGGGATACATACTCTGTAGAGCCAAGATCAGGCACCTGTAAAACTTTTTTCCTTCTTACTTTAGGATTACCAGATGTATCACATACATAAATAACAATTGAAGGGTGTTTGGAACCCTCTGCAACAGCTATTAAACGTCGATTGTAAGAAGCCGCTAACGCGGTAACGGTTTCACAATTCGGCGTACAAGAAACCAGCTGTTGTGTACCCAGTTGAATATCCAAAATAACGAGACTCTTTCCAGATACCCATAATACGTTGTTCTCGTCCAAGTATTGAAATCCATCTTTTACTTGTTCACATACGCCAAAGACATGGCGGCGCTCAATCATGCGAGGTGCGCCTTGTGGGAGGGGCATTTTGCTTCCTTTATTTTTTTTTCTTCTTTTCTTTTGTCTCCTTCACACCAAATACGCAACCTTGCGTTCTTTTTCTCCGCTAGGATTTATAAAAAAAAAAAAAGAAAAAAAGATTAAAGAAAGAATGACAAATGATAACCACATAGATAGTCAAAGATAAGAATAATGATAATAACATAGACAGAGAGAGAGAGAGAGAGTGAAGGAGACAACACACACATATATATATAAAGAATAGTAAAAATACGAAACTAAAACAGTATCAATATTCTGATAAAAATAATCGAATTCATGTAATCTCTAAAAAGATGTTTTTTTTTTTTTTTTTCTATGGTTCTCTCTATATAGATATATATATTTACTTTTTATTTATTCTCGTATGAAACTCATGTGCTATATTACAAGTTTAGCTTAACTTGGAAGGAAAAATCATGTCCATATTAATAAATAAATGATCTACTCGCTTGTAAAAACTCTCTGCACAGAGAAGCAAAGGATCTACAGGATCAACATCAGGAAATCTCTTGGCATCTGCTAATGTATAGAGCTTTCTGTCCGTTCCCAGGCAGCGTAAAGCAAGATTATAATGTGCATCCTTAACGAGAGGAGAACATCCAGGGGCATGAGGAATATCAAATAAAGCCCGAAAATAAGTAAATTGAGCTCGCACGGAACGCACCGCTGCGGCTGTACCTCCTGTGCGGTAAAATTGTTGAATTATTTTATGGCACATTTGTGTTAAACAATTAGCCAAATACGTTACAGGAAGTGAGTAACCACAGTTTATACAAACATAGATCTCAAAAAGACCTGTAGGAAGTGGTTTTTGAGGATCATTCACCAAGTCATTAATATATTTATGTGGATCTATTGGAACTACCTGACGACAACGTGTACAGACAACTTGTAATGGCAATGCGGTAGGAAAACACTCTGATAATTCACGGCTTTTAAAAAGAGAACAATGTGAGAAATCATCAACTGTAAAAGTTTCCACATTATTACGTTCAGTTCGTGTATGACATGCAATACCCATAGCTTCACTTAACTGTTCTGGTGTAAACCCTTGAATATGTTCACACAATCGCATTACAGGTGGATACAGTTGTGAGGTTAAATACCATTCAGCATCAATACGAAGTCCACCAGTTCGTCGTACTTCATCCACATGATAAGCTTTTTCATTAACATTAACACCTTCTCCTTCACAGATAACATAAGGAATAAGGTCTCCAACACGAACATTTTCTTTTCTTTGTTTCATTCGAAGAGCAACAGTTGCATGGGGAAAAGATGTTCCACGATAAGATTCTGGTTCTTTTGTTAAACTTTTTGAAATAACAAAATCTTCAAGTAAGTAACGATCTCCAAGACGAACATGATCGGCAACACCTTTTATATAGGTCATAATATAATCCAATATATCTTCACCACCTTCAGCATTTAAAACTCTCTTAAGTACTGCATCTGATATTTTTTGTGAAAGAGGACACCAATCCCTACGTACCATATCCAATCCTTTAACTTCCATCTTATAATCTTTACCAGAACCTTGCCAATCTGAAACAGTTAATGCTGCATATTTTTTCTTTTTAAGAAGAAGCATAGCCCTAAAAACGCCATCAATATCTAACTCCAAACTTTGATATCGTTGATTAACTTTATTCTTTATATCAAATCCAAGTTCACGTACTTTTTTGATATCATCTTTTATCCCAGTTTGAATCATAACTGAATCAGTATCTCCATAAATAACTCTTAAAGAAGGTGATATTTGTGGAATTAATTCAACTGTATTTTGTAAAGCGAGACGTCCTTGACGTGTAACAAGTTCTGCAAGAGGTTGTGCATAAAAACGTGAATATTCAAATCCTAAACAACCGTACATACTATTAGCCGTTAATTTAAGAGCCTTTTGTCTAATTTCCAGCATTGCAAGATTTTTAGAGTCTTTTTCTGTCTTCATTATTCGTTTTATTTCTCTTCTACTGTCAACAAGTCCTCGAATAACTTTTGGTAAAATACATCTGTGCAAACATGGTGAAGGTAAACCTTCGAGTGCACAAGATCGACAAATAAGATTTTCTGGAGGAGGAACTTCTGCTGTTACAGTATTTTTATCACGTTCAACAGTAGTGTAACAAATATTAAATTCTTGAATAAGAGAAGGATAAAGTGAGTTAAAATCCAGAAGAAGAATATAATCCGAATAAAGACCAGTTTTAGGTTCAAGAACCATACCACCTTGATATTTAGTTTTTCTTTTATTATCATCCTCAGGATCATCTCTACTCCTTTTAGAATCAAAACGTTTTTTGTCTGGGGTTACAAATTTCAAATTATGAAATGTATGAAGAAGTAGATACTCTATTCTTTCTGAACGAGCGCCATAAAGAGTACGACTCCATAAATTTCCTGCTAATGATGTTAAACGTTTGGTAAGTGGAATTACATCAAGAGCTGCAGCTACTTTAACAGAGAGAACAGCACAGTTAAAAAGTTGTAAAAGTACTTTAAATAATTCATCAGATGATTTCATATGGCGTCCATCTAATACGGTAGAACCAGGTTCAAATGATCCATTACCATCTGTAATACCAGATAATCCCATTTGAGTAGCAATAGATAATAATTTGTAATTTGAACTTTTATAATATTCTCTAGAAAGAAGGTATGTATCAACTACAAGACGTCCTACACAAGCTTCTTTTTCATTTGCTAAATTTGTATTATTACCTTGAGAACGTGGAAAACGTTTAATATCAAGACGTCCAATTGTAGACCATCGTGGAATATTTAATTCTTGAAAACGGTTTAAAAGAATATCCATGGTATATCCTATAAAATTATGACCTACTACCATATCAGGATCTAAATTACCCAAAGTTTCTGCCAACCATATTAATAGTTCTCTCTCATTTGAAAACCGTTTAACACCAGGGACTCCTTTTGATTGACAGTAAGACTCTAAATTTAAAGGTAATACCATTTCTGGAGATAATTGTCGAACTCCTGTAAAACATTCGGATATAGTCGTTTTAGTACTTTCATCAATGTTAACATCACGGTAAAGAGCAATAGAAGCTGCAACTACCTCATTTGTAACACCCTTATTGTTTAATTGAGTATGTAGTTGAATGCTCGCTAGTGTAAAAAGTGGTGGTGGTCTTGGTGAATCATAAACTTTCACATTTTTAGGTGAATTTACAACAAATTCCACTTCACAATGTGAAACATGACCATTCACTGGGAGAAGATTTTCAATCTGAAGGTATGATGGACCCTTAAGCTTTTTTTTAATTAGAAAAAGTTCAAGTAATGAACTTGAAGCTCCCATTACAAGTTGAATATTTTGAAATTCTATATTTGTCGGAAAAGGTGGATATTTTCCTGGAAAACGAAGTTTGGCCCATCTTGTTTTTTCATGAGGAATATCAGGTTCTTCAAAGGCATAATACCGTTCTACAAATTTTACACGTCGCTCTTCTATTCCATATTTTCGACAGACGGAATTAATTTCTTGAACAACATCAGCATCAGAAGCACCTTCTTTAGGAAGTAAAAATGTACAACGGTACAAATTTTGAACCCTGATACAGCAAGAACGAAATCGATTATTTTTTCCTCCATCATCACAGAGTTTTCCAAAAAGAAATAAAGTACCTGGAATAGACATGGTATGAGGTTGTTCTTTAGCATCAAACCAATAAAACAAAGCATTATCTGGGCATCCATTTATCACGTCAGTAGAAGAAGTACTAGAAACTTTTACAGGTTCTACTGGAAGTTCAGTAACAACATTTAACTCCTTTACAAAATTCTCTTTAACAACATAATTTGTCTCATTACGGTTTTCATTTTTACTCTTTTTCTGTGTAGTTTTTTGAACAAAAGATTTCTTCTCGTAATCAAAAACTTCATCATCAAGACTTACAAGCGGAGCTTCTTCATTTTGTTCAGTATTTTTAGGTGTAGAAATATTTTTTCCTGTCATTAAAGAAGATAAAAACTCATTAGCGGTTATGTTCTCGTCATTAACATCCCCTGGATCTTCTTCATCTTCTAATGCGTCATCTTGTAAAAACTTTGTTATATCAACTTCCGCTTCTTCTTCCTCTTCATCATCATTAGAAAGACCCCGATATTTTTTTAATAAATCTTCCATATCTGGTGCACTTATAGCCTGTGTTAACTTTTGTTGTTGAACACGAGTATTTTTCTGCGGAACGGTTGCTTTGGTTACTTTTTTTGCTCGACGCTTCTTAGATTCTATGGGTAATTCCAAATTGCCACTATTCATAATATCATCATCTTCTTCTTCACCTGAGTCTATCATCGCCTCTGCCTTTAGTCTTTTCCATTGCTCTTCTTCAGTCTCGGCGAAAAGAGAATCAGATACATGATTCTCTCGTCTTTGTTCACCTGTTCGACAGCTCTCCCAGCGCTCCATTTTTTTGTGTTCCTTCTCTTCTCTTCAATTATTCCTTTCTTCGTTATCAATGTGCTCTTTTGCACCGTTTTAAAAGGCCTAACAATGAAGAGAATCAAAAATTCAAGAATTAAAGAGAAGGTGGACGGTAGAAAACTACAAAAAAAGAAGAAAACACTAGGTCACCCCGAAAAAAAAAATATTTGATTTGAAAAAAAAAACAAAAAAAAAATCCTCCAGATAGAGAGAGAGAGAGGGAACTTGCCATAAGGGGAAAAAATCCATTCCCAACACGCGCACAGCGATCATACTCTTCATAAAAAAAGCTCATATCTCATGTCGTGTTGTCCCTTTTAAAGAGGAAGAAAAACACAATATCCCTAACCCACTTCTCCCAACATCTCTCTCTTTCTACTTCTGGTTAAATAGTAACATGGTACGTTAGGTTTTTGTTTTACTTTTGTATTCACAGTATTATTTCTTCAATTATCAAATATCATTGACACTGTTCAACTGTATCCATAGTAAAATAAAAGAAAAAACAGTTTGAAAAAAAAAAACAGAAAAAAAATGTCCCAGAGAGAGAGCGTGCCATAAAAAGGGAAAAAAAAAATCCATCCAACACGCGCACAGCGATTATACTCTTTCATTTCATAAAAAGAGCTCATATCTCATATCGTGTTGTCCCCTTTGTAGAGAAAAGGGGACACAATATCCCTAACCCACTTCTCCCAATATATCTCTCTTTCTACTTCTGCTTAAATAGTAACATGGTACGTTGGGTGTCTGTTTTACTTTTGTATTCACAGTATCATTTCTTCACCCATCAAATATCATTGACACTGTTCAACTGAATCCATAGTAATAATAATAAAAAAAAAAAAAAATCAAAATCAACTCTTTTTTTGTGCACCTTCAAGTTCTTTGCAAACCGTTGCAAGGGAATGAACACTTTTTACGGATATAGCCAGTTGTCGAGCAAAATTAACGAGTGAAACCTCCTCACCTCTACTCAGTTTCAAAGTATCACCTGAAGATAACATTAATATCTTAAATGCCGTAGCAAGACCCATAGTCTCCAATTTTCCCCATACACGACATTTTTCACAAGCAACACAATCCATAAGAGTTGTAATATTCAGCATCATCCTATTCATTTGAGGAATAAGTTTACGAGCCATTGGTGATTCCAAAAACCTAGCTTCATCAAATGTTGAAGAACACAATAAATGCTCGTTAAATAATTCTTGAAGTTCTTTATGCAGTTCTTTATCTTCGTCAGTTGCCTTACCACCTTCGCCCGAATTAAAAGCATTTAAATCCAACAAAAACACATTTTTCGCCTTTGCAAGAGCACGAAGAATAAATTGATATAAGACATAAAGATTATCAATATACTCTTGAGACTTCGTAATACGTTGGTACATACCACAATTCGGTAAAAATGACATATTTGGATTTTTTAGTAAACCAAGAGCAATAAGTGGAGATTTTCCTTCTTTATCCTTATGAAAAAAAGCTGCTACATGCATCGTAATAGAGGTTTGTAATCCACTAATCAATTTGCGGAAAACTTGAACCTCTTTGCATTCTTTCTCCTCAGTGGAATCACCTTCTTGATTTACTTCAGTCATACAATTTTCTTTGTAAATGGCTTGCCATACGCGGGATGCCATAGGTCCTGAATAACCAGTATTGGCTTCTGGATTCTGAAGAAGATCAACATATGTAGCCTCAGAATCACTATCTTTCCAGACTCCCCACAAATCCATATTAGGATGTTTTTCTCCTTCATAGGAAACACGAGATTCAACCACAGAAGGATCACTCATATCATGAGGATATTTAAGCGCTTCAGGGACATCATTCGCATCACATGAACAAACTTGACAACTGTTTTCCTCGCTTATGCATAAAAGTTGCACAGCCCAGTAGGGACATGGCTTATCCACATTTACTTTGAAATAACGAAAAAATGGTCGACTCGTTATATTATTCAAAAGTGATGCTATAACTTCCGTTCCTGATATAATCTCCTCCATTGTACAGCAACAATAGCTATCTTCTAATGGATGATTAGAATGATTAACATTAGAAGCTTGATTGGTCAAAGGATCATTAACGGTCTTCTTATCCCGCAAAACATCACTTTCATTCTGTCCTCCCAGAAATAATAGATAACAAAGGAATCCCAAAAAAACAGGGAGAATAAACCAAGTACATTTTGCTGACATTTCTATTTTCCTTATTCCCTATACTTATTAGTCAATAAAACCAATTACCAGATAAAACAAACGACCAAATAATAATAATAATAATAATAATAATAATAATAATAATAATAAAAGAAATAATAAAAAATTGCTGAAGCATCTAAAAAAACAAAAAAAAAAATTGCTGAAACGCTGCAGCAAAAGAAACGAAGATACGCAACCCAAAAAAGGGGAAACAATCCTTTTAAAGAAAAATCAAATGACCCAAATTAACAACAATGATACAATATGCCTTCTCATCAGAAGTAAATTCGGCGAAAGAAAAAAAAAAAAAGAACGTTCGCCGAAAAAACTCTTTCCCCGGAAACAACCGCAGATTCAGAAGGGTACGGGGCTGCAAAGAGAAAAAAAAAAAAAACGACTCATCACCGATTTCGCCGGGGACCCCGGACAATAAAAAACAATCATAAACCACGACAACAAAAAAAAAACACAAACGGGGAAAGAAGAACTTGCCAAAAAAAAAAAAAAAACACACACACATCAAGAGACGGGTGCGGGGAGGAAGGAGGTGGGCGTCCGGCCGTCGTGATGCGAGGGGCGCTTCCCCCGGGAGGCGGTGGGGTGGTTGGGCGAAAAGAATAAAGGAATTTGGTCGGGCCCCGTCTCTTTTTTATTTTTTTTCCTGTGGGGACGAGTGTTTCCTCCGATCGGCACGCGGGCCGGCCGCCAAACGGCGCAAGAGTTTTTCTTTTCTCTTTGTTTTTTTTCTTTTTTTTTCCTTTTGTACTTTTTTATTTTCTTATTTTTTCAAGTTTCTACCGATTAGATGTCTTTCAGATATTTCTTCCCCCTGGCGAGGCGGCCGCTGCGCCGCAAGGGTCGGGGTGACGGTCGGGCTTGCGGCCCTCAATTCGAAAAATTCGTCCGACGACCGTTTCATGATAGGGTGGCGGCGCGTGCCTTCCAACAGCGCGGAATGAAACACAACGCTTTTGACACAGAGAGGGTCAGACAAATTACTTCACAACAACCGCGTCAGTTTAACGCTGCTCATACTCCGCTTCAAGCGCTGAGAAGGGAAGTTAAAAGAGAACGCTTAGATAAAGGATTGGGAAGATTTTTGCCAAAATAATTGTTTTTTTTTTTTTTTTTTGCTCTGTGTCAATTGCTTTTCAGAATAACTCTCACAACACCAGAAAATGCTCATGCTTTTTTTTTTTTTTTTTTTCGTTTCTTGTGGCAATCAATTTTTACAGGTGGGGAAACTTAACCTTAGAACGATATAATAAAGTTTCTAAGTGATGTTGAACTTCTAGTGTAAAAAATAATTAATTATTTTTTTTTTCTTTGTTTTCTTTTTTATTTTGTGAAGGCTAGTTTATTCCTTTTTTTTTTTTTCTAGGGGTATTAGAACCAATTCTTTACGGAGAAGAACTATGACATCTCTTCGTTTCAGTATTTTTAGAGCTTTATTAAGACACCAAAAATTATATAACAATATTTTATTGCCTGTGTTTGGTACTCTTCATCCTTATGGTGTAAGACACGTATTCCGGTATCATACAGCTCTTTTTCCCTATGTATTGAGTTCATCTGACGGGAAACTTTTAAAATTGGAAGAAAGCATACAAAAGGCTGCACTTAATAATGAAGGACCCTCACTTGCTATTACTGCTTTAAATTGGTTGTCATGGATGGAGAATCGTTTGGCTCATCTTCCGACTAAATCCATACACCATGCGAATTACCGATTTATTCCTGGTGAAATAGCTCAAATTTGTGGATCAGGAGAAAGAGTGGTGATCGCTCTTCGTTTTCCTGTTTACATGACGAGCGATACTAATATGAATACGGGGGTTTCTGGCACGTTTGATTTACCTTGGTACCTTGTTATCCCTTCATTTTCACAGGATCTTCCACAAACAAAGGAACAGCTTGTTCCAGAAGTCTTTTTGCGTAAGGTACGACAACCCGTTTCAGTTGGTTATAACCCTCGTTTGCCTGTTTATTTTGAGGGTTATGACATGAAAAAGGGTGTATATGTTCCCCGAAAATCCATTAATGGAATGGAAAAGATTTCAACAAGAATTTGCATCTAATTCCTTTTTTCCCTGAAGCAGATGTAAAAATAGTCAACTATTTCTTTTTTTTTTTNCAGCGTTTTTTTTCTTTTTCTTTATTTGTTTACGAGTATGTGAAAAGTGGGGATCTCTACGGCACGGATATGGTTTTCTTTTTTTTTTTTTTTTTGAGGGTTTATGTAGGTTGTGCGTCATACCTTGATATCCAAATTAATGTTTGAAGATTATTTCTAAGAGCAGTACCTTTTTTTTTTCTGGTTTGATTATGTTATTATTTTTATTTTCCTTTATTTATTTTCTTTTATTTATTTGATTTTCTCTGTTTTTATTTTTCTTATTTTTGATTTTAATTTTCTTTACTGTTGTACGGATGATTTAAGGAAGATTGTGTCTTTGTGAAGACCACATAAAGGAATATGTCTTCTGAAGCAGTTAAAAAACAGATTTTAACGGCTATTAGTGCTCTAAATATTCCTCTGATCAAAAGGCCAGATGAGCTAAAGGTAGAAGAGGCCTGCGCTGCTGCAAAATTGTTGAGGAATCGGGTACTACGGGAACATGTTCGTGTAGAAGAACACATTGAAATTCTTCGACAAAAACAGTTTTATGACGATAGTGATGGTGAAAGTGATAATGATGGTAATTCGGTATTTTTGGGGACAGAATCTTCAGATATTCGAAAATTATCTCGACAAGATTTTTTATTTATAAGTGAAATGATGGTTATGGAAAATGTTGTTGTTCCACTTCTTTTGGCTCATGGGATGAATTTTAGTTCATCACTTTTACCTCAATTACTGAAATTATTGACAGCGATGTTACTTCCAGTTCCAATGCATTCTTTAGAAATGCCTAGACAATTTGATTACATTCGACGTTTAGTGGAACGATGTGGAACGGATGAATTTTTTACACTTTTGATACAGTGTGTTGCACCTGTAGCTGAAAAACGATCAAAGGGTATTTTACAAAAAGAAGATGTGGTTCTTCTTGAAGTTGTTCTTAAAATTATTTCTCATTTTTTTAATGCGCCAAAGGAAAGTATTGCACCTGGAATTGGTGCTTTTGCACGGAATCATGGTATTGAATTTTTTCTTGTGGTATTAAATCAAAACTTTGCACGAGCAGAAGCAATGAAAAAAGAAGAAGAAATTGCTGCTTTGAAAGATATGGAATTATCCTCTTCAGAGGAAGAGGATAATAATGATAATATTATATTAGTTGATAATCACATGGAAGAAAAAGAAGAAGAAAAAAAAGGAATTGTGGTCTTGGAAGATGGAGAAAATGGGACTGAAGATGGTGAAGAAGAAGAAGCAGAAGAAGATGAAGAGGATGAAAGTGGACATGACGAAGAAGAAGAAGAGGAAGAGGAAGGTGTTGGTAATAATAAGGATTACGCTGTGGATGAGATTAGTATTGATCAATATAATGCTCGAATGTTGGATCTTTTAGAAAGTACTGAACAACTTTGGAAATGGAATATGCTTATTGTTAGTTCAATGGCAGTAGTTCTTCGTTGTGCAAATCCTGTGGAACTTGCTCAACTTGGATTTCTTTCAAAGTTTCAACAGCAATCATCCCATCAACTTATGGGATTGTTTGAAAGTGGTAAACGTTTTCGTGAGTGTAAAAAAGAATCCGATCGATGGAGACAAGTAGCAAGGAGTCGTAATGGGGCTATAACTTCTAATGGTTTACTTGTTCGAGGGACATCCTCTTCACGTGTGCAAGGAGAAGGTGGAGCAATAGGTTCTGCTTCAGTACTTCTTGGATTAAGAAGTAAAGATCCACTTGAGAAAGTTCGAGATATTGATTTACGTAAAAAAGGTCGTTTTGTCAAGGGAATGTCTGATGATAGTATTGCTATTTCTAATCTTCCTTTGCCTACTAAAGTACAACTTTCTCAACAGTGTCTTTCTTTTGTATGTTACGGTTTTGAACCTTTAAATATGATGTTATGGAATAAAATAGCAAAAACTATTGCTGGTTTTGAAAGTATTGTAAAAGAGCGTAGTGAATTGTTATCTGGATTTAAAAGTTCTGGAGAAGAACCTGAATTACCATCTCAAATAGATAAATCTGTCTATGATTCAGCTCAAGGTGTTTTGGATTATGTTGATATATGTGCTTCATTACTTCGATATACCAGAGAAGTTGTTCGTTTAAACAAAGATGAAAATAATGATATTACTTTGGCAACATTTCATCAACAATGGCAATGTATATCTAGTGTTATTACAATTGAACATATTCAGTATGGATTTGAATTACTTCGAGTATTTTTAAGTTCTCCAGATTTTAAGAAAAGATTTGATGTTACCAGTGTAGTAATTTATCTTTCTGAGTTATTAATGACACTTAATCATTTAATAGATGGTGATATTGTTAAAGATCCTAATGTCATTGTGGCCGCAAATGCATTATCATCATCTATTCTTTATAATGAGGAAAATGTTACATTGGTTTTTGATCTTATTTCAAGATATACTGCCAAAGTTCTTCCACCTGGTAAAGCTAGAGTTTTTGTATTATTGGTATACTCAGTTTTTCAACTTATGGAAAAGTGTAGTTTTAAAGGCAAAGTTTTATTTCCCAAAAGAGAAAAAAGACAAAATGCAACTATTACAGAAGAAGCAGAAGACATAAGTAATGTGAATTTTTTGGAATCAGATAAAGTAGAAAACATTGATCCTTTAAATTTATCACATGAAACGATAAATGAGGTAACGAAAGATGAAGTAGATATAAACGAGAATGATAATGTTTTAACTTCATCCAACTCAGTATATTTAAAAGATGTTCCACTTGAGCCTTTAGAGACTACATCTGGTAATAAGGATAGAGAAGTATCTATAGAAAATGCTTCTCTAACTTCAAGTGGTCCTGCTATTCTTTCCACTTTAAGTTCGGAGAGAGAAGTAAGTATGGGAAATTACTTTAAACGTCTTGCTACTGTGAAAAATACGAAATTAATTCTTTCTTCACTTCGTCATTGGAGAGTTAATGATAATGATGTGAACACAGCTTTAGCATACTTAATTCGTTCTCTTGTTATTGAAGGTAGTGAAAATATATTCTTTAATGCACATTTTCTAATGGTAATGAGAGATATATTAGTTAACGGTAAAGATTCTCATAATTCTTTATATAATGTTTGTGATCAGGTGGTTTTTAGTTTTTTTAATCCTTCATTTGCGAAATTTCTTGATGAAAGGAAAAAATCTCAATTTGGATCCTCGCTTAATGTTTTAGAGGGTGCTCAGTCATTTTTGGGGTTTGAGGTTTCTCTGCGATGTGCACGTTCACTTTTTTGTTTTAATTCTACCGATTATAGTATTATGGAAGAAAAAGGACTTCCTCACTTGACTGATTGTATTGCAATTCCACTAAAGGATGAGAAAAATTATGCTGATAGGAATGAAGATGATGACACATTCCCTGATGCTGAAGAATCACCTATCAAAAAACGACGTCGAAAGAAGAAAGTATCTTTAACAGATGAAAAGATACAAGAGGAGAAAATCATAGATGAAGAAACCATAGAAGAAGTTATTATGGAGTTACAAGATGATGAGATTGTTGTTGAATAGTTTTTTTTTTTTTCTATATATATATTTAAAATAAAATAAAAAAAAAAACAGTAATCTTGAGAATGGGGATAACATTATTTTTAAGGAGTATTTCTTTACTTTAAAAGTAACTTTTTTTTTTTCTTTTTTTTAATTTGTTTATTTATTGTATGCTGGAGATGCATCTGTGACCTGTATAGTCAATAATATGTGTTTTATTTTTACTATCTTGGTGACAAATTCCTTTTGCGTCTCATTTTCTATTTTTATTTCTTCTTATTTATTTGTCTGTGTTTTTTTTTTTTTTTTTTTTTTATTATTGATAGCATTGAATAAGATAAATGACAGGAAGAGCCAACGAGGAACAACTCACTCCAGAGCTTTTACAGCTCCGTGTTAAACAGGGATTGCAGAAACGAAAGAAGTGTGCGCTTTGTCTCCAAGTTTTCTATGTAAATGAGTTGCCTGGTGCTATTACGCACAAGTCTATATTGGAATTGCGTCAAAAGTGGGGAATGAATGTACTTCGAGGAGATCGTATGCCTCCACCCTCTCAGTTATATAAGAGAGAAGAACTTTGTGTCTTTTGTATGCAATTCTTTGACACCAGTGGGGCCGTTCAATCCCAACAACAACTCTTAGCCTCCACTCGTGGTGGGGTACCAGCGCATTTGACTTTACGTTAATTGTTCTTGTTGTTATTGTAGTTGTTGTTTTGGTTTTATATTGTCATCTGTTTTAACACTGGAACATCCTTGATGAACAATATCAGTGAAAGGAGGAAGTATATATATCTATCTATATATCTATATATATACATATATCTATCTATATGTCTTGCATGTACAACTGCTCACTCTCAAGAAAAAAGAAAAACAATTTTCTATATAATAATTATTATTTGAAATTATATATATTTTGTTTTTTTCTGTGTTTCTCTTGACCGATTAAAAAAAATAAATATATAATAATTCTTTTCCTTTTCTTCTTTTTTCTTCTTTTCTTTTTTTTTTTTTCTTTTCGTAGGGAGATAGTACAGTTTAAACCTCTTTTTTTTCCCCTTTTATATTTGATATCGTTGTTTATTTTTTTTTTTTTTCTTTAATAGTTATTTCTTCTCTGCTCATACTTCATGACAATGTCTGAGCATAATGATAACCAACAACCCAATGTGCTCCCTGTATTACCACACGCTGCATGGATGTGGAAACCACGATCTAAAAAAGTTATTGAAGATAACTTTGGTGGAGTAGCCGCATCTTTTTTAGGCGTCCGAAACCTTGGAGCTCGAGAATGGAAACGTCGATATGTATTTGTGGAGGGAAATGCCATTTGTTACGGCAGAAGTGTCGGTAAACGAGAAAAAGTGATTCCACTTGAAATTATACGTGCAGCCAATTATGCCACTCGTGATGTTCTTCTCGCCGCCCATGCCCCCCGCTCTAAAGCCCAGTTTGGATGGTTTATGTATATTAATGGGAAGGAGTTATTATTTTGCTGCGAGAATGAGGCCGTACGAGAGGAATGGGTCACTTTTATTCTCGCCGTCCTGCGACTCATGAGTGGATTGGCCAAACCCGTGCCGCTCTCGCCAGAAGAGGGAATGGGAGCCCAAACCACATCTTCTTTAATTGCACAGTGTATGCAGCGAACAGAGAGTAGTGAGAGGCCACACAGTCGAACTTCTTCCTCTATAGGGACAACATCACGTCATCCTGTTTGGGAAACAGAGAGTGAGAATCGAATGTCAGCACGACACGTGCAAGGAAGGTTAAAATCGGAATCTCGACTTTCTTTAGGTTATGATCCTAATAATAATAATAATAATAATAATAATAATAATAATAATAATAATAATAATAATAATAATAATCCTCGTAATAATAATCCTCATCATGATGATGATGATGAAGGTGAGGATACAGAGACCATAGTGAATGCCTCTTCTTCTTGTTTTGCTGATGACTACTTTTTGGATGAGGAAATAAGTGATGAGGATAAGAATGCATCCCTTGGATTACAATCTCCATCGTTATTAGATTCAGTTCAGCAAAAAGATGTGCAGACAGTTGATATGCATGCTTGTGCACTTCTTCCAAAAGCTCGACAACGGTATTTACATATTGAATATAAATTACCATCTCTTAAGGATCATTTTAAATCCGGAGATAATATACAAAATGTTGTCTTTTGTCGTTGTGTAGAAAAAATTGGAAAACGAGATACCATACAGGAACGAGATCTTGTGCTTACCCATCAATATTTGTATTTATTTGCTCAAAATAAAATAACAGGAGGTACATATGCACGGTGTATAGAAACAAAACAAATTGTAGGTGTCATTGAAAGTACGATGGAGAAAAATCTTATGGCTATCATAATTCCTTCCTTTCATGATTTACTTATTCGTTTTCATAAACAAAATTCACGTGTAGCTGGTGATGAGAGTGAGGTGAAATTACAATTAATTGCACATTTATATAAAATTTATTTGGAAAATCATAAAGGACAACGTTTTATTTTTCGTGAAGTGGAAAATGTAAGGACAGTTATTCGTCGTAGTGTGGAAGAACAACACTTACCACTCATGTCTCTCCCAGAAGATCGTATGTTGGTGGGAACCAATAAAGGTTTATTTTCATTATTTCGAACATATGCAGATTCGGTCGTTTTTTGGTCTTCCATGGTGACATGTGTAAAGGAAGATCGTCAATTACAATTACGAGCTCTTGTGATAACGGATGGAGCTATTTATATGATTAGTGATACCTTGGTAAAGATTAATAGACGTATTCCACTCTCTGAAGTAATAAACTTAAAGTTTGATAGAGATTCACAAACAATACTTCTTCACTGTAGAGAAGTGGATACACTCTTTACGGTTCAATCTAGTGGAGAGTTTGCACGTATTATCGCACTCGTACCAGAAGTGTTATCACAGTGCTGTGGTGTTATGATCTCGGCTACACCATCTAAACAGTTATATGCACAAGTCCAACTTGTGGATTTATCAAAAGTAAAAGATGTATACGATCAGGAAACTACAGTGGATATGGTAAGAAAACGTATGAAACTTTCACGACGTGTACTTTCATCTATGCATCCTATTTGGTTTAAGAATTATTTTAATGGATTTCAACTAGATGAAAAAAAAGTACCTCTCACAGAAGCTGAAGATATAAGGAATGATGTACATGTAAAGTGCCCTGGAAGTGCCGCTTTTTTATCTCAGTATCGTTTTGTTGAAGAACTTATTTTAGAGTTTGAGGATGAGAAAAAGATACTCGCCGCTGCTTCTTCTTCTTCTTCTTCTATGGATGGAGATTTCTTATCTCTTAACGGGAATTTCTCAACCGATTTTGATTTTGGGAAAATTTACTATTCTTCTCTTTGTAGTGAATTAGATGTAAAATCATTACCCAGTGGTAATGGTAATAGTGGTAGTGGTGGGAGTAGTAGTAGTAGTACTACTACTACAATCTTAAATGAAGGCATATTGGATAAATATAGTATTCGACGAGCACTTTCCATTTCCTCTAATGGTATTTTATTATTAAATTATAATGGAGATATGGGAAAATTACGTCGTACTTTTAAATCTCCACTTCTTGGTGGTAAAACGATAACTGGTAATCTTTCTGTAAAGAAAGATAGTTCCAGTACACAAGATCCTCGTGTGGCTTTATTTCTTCTTTGGTCAGAAGTAGTTGGGATGATTAGATGTTATCCAGGCCAAGGAACCGTAATAGGTCTAATGACAGGTTCAGGTCACTCCTGTGATTATATGTTAGATGTGGAGAGTGAACAAAATGTAAATGTCTTTATTTCTCTTTCAGCATGGCGATATGTTCAACAAAATCCTCATCATTATTCTCCATATTCATATGAAATGCTTCCACTCTTTACAGTTCCTCGTGCTGAAAATATACGGAATGCTTTAAAAAAAACCGTGTTTGATCCAAAACCCACTATTGCACTTCGTCGTGTATGGACTCATCATGCCAGTGATGATCTTCATTTCGCAGTTGTACCCGATATTGCAGAAGCTTGTCGTCGTTTTGGAGATAATGCTATTTATTTCTCTGGTGTGGCTTGGCGTTATCGAGGTTCGGTTATTAAAAAAATAATGAAAAAAAGAACCACCATGATGTTCAATACAAAGAATAAGGATAAATCTATAAATGAAGGAAGTTTACCTACAAAAGAAAAACATAAAGCTTTTATTATTGTTCTTACAAATTGTGCTATTTATTGGTGTACTCATGGTGGTTTTGAGATTGTAAGAAGAACGGAATTACGTGATATTAAAGAAGTGTATTTAAGTCATGCAGAACCAGATTCTATTCTCCTTACAGTTCCTAAAGAGTATGATATGTATATTCATATTATGAGTCGTGGTAAGGAGTTTCTAGCCAGATTACAGGAAGCATATGTAGCCTGGACAGAATATAATCTTTATCTTCCTTATGAAACTCATAATAATAATAATAATAATAATAATAATAATAATAATAATAATAATAATAATAATAATAATAATCCACTTCATGCTTCTTTTAGCAAGTATGCACTTCCTGTACAGATAGTACCACATCTTGCTTCTATAGGAAGATTAGAAAAACCGCCTCAATTTAATGAAATACAGGCAAACCGTTCTGCAGGAGAAATTAAGGCAAGAATGGAATCTTTTCATTGTAATTGTTTATCTATGGCTATTGCAAAGTATGAGGCTACTGTAAAAGCAGCATCTAAACGTCAAATACCACGAGAAAAAACAGAGATTCTGAATAGTACAGGAAAAGTAACATGGGAACAAGTTTACAAAAGTCTCTTTCTATCAAAAACAATTCTTGAATTTGTTCATCGAAGAGCCTATCGATTTTCTCTACGAAGTACGACTCATAAAGAGATGGAGTACGCACAGTTACTACTTTGGCATTTTGATAAAATGACAAGTATTCTGGAAAGACTACAACATGCCATTATGAGTGAAGATCTAACTATGTATGAAGTCGCCTCTAAGGAAGCCAAACAATATGATTGGTTACGTTTATTAGTAGAGGAAAACTGTGAGGTTTATGAAAAACTAAAACAAAGAAAATATGCCGTAGAATCTATTACGAATTTCCTTTCTAGCACTACACGAGGTCCATTAAAAGATTCTGAAAATACATTGGAATTATTATTTGAAAAGGCAATAAAAAGTGAAGTTCGTGAAGAAGTTCTACAAAATCTACGTCTTCGCACAGACCTCTACGTTCAACAGGAAAAATTTATCACACACCTACAATCCCATCAACGAGCCCTTCTCACCGCAGGAGGAGGAGGAGGAGGAGGAGAAGAAAAAAAAGAAAAAAAAGAATCTTCAACATCTAAAAAAGAATTATTACTATTAATAGAAGCGGCACGTCAACTTGAGGTATCTGTCTCTGTTGTAGAAACTGCTTTTATACGAAGTTCCCCTGTAGTAATACGCCCCGATAGTGAACAGGAACGACTACAGTTACAGCAACAGGATACAAAGAATGTAGAGGATGTTACTAGTGATGCTATTCATACAGCTGTGTTAATGGGAGATGTGGTGTTGCTTAAACAAACATTACAGTTTGCGGAACGTTTCTCTTCTGAAGAATTAAAAAAGAAGATTCAATGGGGATGGGATCAGTTTAATTTACATCGTAAACATCATGAGGAACGTCGCACTGTACAATCTCTTGTAGAGCGAATTGGAATGCATCGACGCTGTCGAGATTGGAGTACGAATGAAGTATCTAAACTATTAACATCTAGTTATCAACTATTACAACAACTACCACTGGATGAACCTATTATGCGGGAAACACGCCGTGTAGTGGAACTTCAAATTCACATTCTCAAAGAGGAAGAACATCGTCTTGAGCTTCGGGATTCACTTTGGCAACAAGCAAAGGAAGCACATGTTCGTTATAAGGAGGAACTTCGACAAAAAGAAAATCACGAACGACTTCTCTTGCGAGAACGTGAACGCAGAGAAGCGGAGGCGAGTCGACGACGACGTGCAGAGTTTTTATTTGTTTGGCAAAATCGTGTGCGTAAGTTATCACTGGCGATGGAAGAAACGATTCAATCGGGATCTGCGGTGTGTGTGCGGCAGTGTGTACGGCAATGTGTCCTCTCGCAGAAGGAAATACAGGATGGACTGGATCGCTATGAAGGGATGTTGACAGAAGAAGAAAAAGAAGAAAGAGAAGAAGAAAAAGAAACAAAAAGGAAGAAAAAAAAGAATAAGAAACAAAAACAAAATGAGAAGAATGAAGTGAAGGAGATGGTGGAAAATATCTTTTCTCAGTTAAAGGCAACGGCGATGCGGGGTGAAGAGTATCTGAAAACGTATGAGGGAGGTACCAATCCCTATGCTCTTTCTACTTTCAGAAGTAAAAACACAGAAGTAGTAGTCCCACCAGAGTTAATGAGAATTATAAAGGCAAATAAATCACGAGAGTTAATTGAATATATACAATCCCATCAGAAGGAGTTGACGGTTGATGTTATATCTAGAGTGCGGGATATGTGGAATGCATCTCGTCAAGGACGACAATGGGCATATAGATTACATCGTGCTATTCACACCGCATTTGCGTTAAAGAATATGGAGTTACTACAAACACATATTGATGCCGCCAAAGAGGCTGGACACATGGATGAAGTTGTGGAAAATGCAATTGAAGTCGTTACCGCAATGCGAGCCAAACAGGAGTCCATACATTCAAGGAAAGAAAGGAAAAACAAAGAAGAAGAAGAAGAAAAGGAGGAGAATGAGAATAATAAAATAATGGATCTCCCTTCAGATGAGTCTATGATTAACAACAACAACAACAACAACAATAACAATAACGCATCTAAAGAAGAAAGAGAAGAAGAAAAAGAAGAAAAGTCGTTTATTGTAGAAATTTCTCGTGTTTATAATGTGGAATCAACTGACGCAGCGGAACGATTGATGGGTCAATTGCACGCTACCACACTAGAGATTTTTCAATCTCCTAAAAAAAGATTTATTTCCAAAAAAATAACTTTACAAAAGGGATATGAGAAACTTATGTCTAAAATGGTAGAACTCTGGCATGAAGTCTTTCATCATCGATTAAAACCATCTGGAAGTGTTTTTCATAAAGTCAAACGGGATTGTTTTGATCTTCTGCAGTTCATTGGTCAATATAATATTTCTGGGAATTACTTGGCTCCATATACAAACCGTCTTTTAAGTGATTTTAAACGTATTAAAAAGTATAATGCCACACAAGGGCGTAGTAGTAGTTATATACTGATTGCCTATATACTTCAACGAGAATTATTAGAACGAGTTGTATATGAAATTACTCAAATTGGACCGAAAGCGAGAAGTGAAGTTCTCTTTGAAGATGCCCTTCTCAATCAAGGACTTCATGATTTATTATTACTAGCTCGTATGGTGGAACAAATAGATTGGTCATCTATGGTATCGGAATCTTCTGATGTCTCTGTTATGATGAGGACTTCACATGAAAAGTATTCATCGGATAAACCTTTATTACTTCCATCTAGTAATGATGATGATGATGATGGAAACTATATGGAAGAGAAATGTATAGAGGTAACCCTTCAAAAGGCAGAGCAACAACAACAACAACAACAACAAGGAGGAGAAGGAGAAGAAGGGGATGAATTGGTTTCTCATGCACCTCGAATAATTGCATTGCAGAATTGTATATCATTAGTACGATCCACTGTGAATATTTTATCAAAGTACTTTGCACAGCAACTGGCAACACTTGGTCAATGTCCATCTGCAGAAAATGCACGTGAACTCTTTGATGAAGGACGACATAAAGAGATTGGCCTAATTGTGCATGAACATCTCATTCCCGCACTTGTGATGATATTAACAAGAGGATTTCGTTCCATTTATCATCTTGTGCGAACCCGTCATGTATGGGAGGCGGTGTTGGAGTTTGGAGAATGTCTTCAACATGGTGTGCGGGAGTTGAGTGGGGTATCTATTTTAAATATACTTCAGCTGGTGGAGGCCTTAACAGATATGAATGGACGTCATCAATCACGACTTCATCGATTGAGTGAAAAGGAACTTGCAGATATGCAACTTCGCATCTTTTTAGTGGCTTGTCTTAATCGTAATGTGTTGGCGGCATTTTTGCAGATGTTCTTTCAATGTGAGGAAGGCACAACGCGTTGGGCCAGCAAAGATGGACTGTGGAAGTTTTATGAACGTGATGGGTGTGTGTGTTATCCTTCTAGTGATGAGGGAACGAGTGAACTTATGGCTGTAATTGCCAAGTTGTCAGAATTACCATTTGTGTTGATAATTGACAGAGAATTATGGTAGATCCTCATTTTGACTGTCTTTAATACCATTATTTATTTATTTATTTATTTAGTTTATTTATTTATTTATTTTGTATTTTTGGTCTATTTATTATTTTACCATTATTTCGTTTTACCGATTACTATTGCCTTTATTGCAAGAGAAGATTTCGTGGGAAATAATCTTTTATTCTTTTAAACGGTGGGGGAGGGATAAAAAAGTAAAAAAAAAAAAGATTATTTTTTCCTTTCTCATTGCATGTATATTTATTTAATTTATTTATTTATTTATTTATATTCACATACACGCAATTATTACGCATATGTTTTTTTTTTTTTTTTGCTATTTTTATTGCGAATGCGTTTTATCTGATGCTAATGTTTTTTTTGGAATTATATGTTTTAATAACTAATTCTGGTAATTCATATTCTTAAAATGATTCCTTTTCTCTCCCTTTTATTTATTTATTTATTTATTTATTTTTTTCTTCTTTTCCTGGGGAACCAAAGTAGGTACAGGATAGTTTAGATCAATAACAACCACAAACGTATACATTTGTAAGTATTATACATGAGGAGAAGAAGAAGAAGATTGTTTAGTGAATGAATGTGTACATGTGAAGATGATGTCGTCGTCTGTGTTTTCTCTTCTTGATAGTGAGCCACCCGCAACGCAGGGAATATGGGAGGAAACATCTCAACAAGAGGCCCAATCACTTTGGTGGAAGGCCAATGATGTGAACCAGGATGAGTATTTATCGTCTATAGTAAATAAACCAATGGAAGAGGAAAAGGGAAAAGTAGAGAGGAATAGAGAAGGATATACATTTACACAATGGGGAGGAGCAACAACAACAAGAAGAAGAATGGTTGAAAACTCTATTAGGAGAAATGATCTTAATGAGAGTTTTTCAGTTTCTATGCATACTTCCTCCTTTACTGCCAACTCTCATTTACTTTCTCGTATTATGATGATGATGCTGCGTGAGGCTAATGACATTGCAACAGAAGAACTTCTTCAGACAGCCTCTACTGTAGAAAAGATTTATCTACACAGTAAAGAGATTCACAATACCTTCAATGAAAAAGGAAATAATTACAATAATAATAATAATGAGTTTGAGGATGATGATGAGGATGAGAAACTATGGAGTTTGATACGAGAGCAGTTAAAGATAATACAAGAGAAGAAGCAAATAAGTAAAGGTGGGAGCCAATACCACTTACTTCACACCAATAGAATAAAAGATAATCACCAAATACCGCCTTTAGTCCCATCCCCTTCTTTATTTTCTAATATGAAAAGTTTATTAAAACCCAATTTTACTACATTGGAAGAAATACCGAAAGAGAAGCCTATCGTAAACAATATTATGAATTTTAAACCAATTCCTCCAGTTGCAGTGCCAGTAATACCCCCTACTCCAGTTATTCGTGAGTTAAATCCAGTTATTGTAATGACAGCTCCTATTTTCTCTGTAGAGCATCGACGTTTGAGAGTTTTCGCAACTATTGAACGAGACATCTTTCATGGTGCTGGTGTTTTAACTTGTATGGCTCCAGAAGCCTTTCGCTATGGTGATAGCGGAGATACTTCTACTACTACTATGGCTTATAATAATAATAATAATATTAATAATAATAGTAATAAGAGTAATGGTATATCTAGTTTCCCTTTTGCACGACAACCTTTTCGTTGGTTTATAGCACATGCCTCAGGTTTTAAAAATCTTCCACGAGACCGGGCGTTAACATTATCGAATTCTACAACAACTTCATATAAGAATAAAAGTCTTCTTCGAGAACTTATGCAAGAGTGTCCAGATGATACATTTCTCCCACTTGATTCATTACTTGCTCTTGGTATTGCTAATTCATGGGTTCTCTCCTCCACTCCACCCATCACGATATCTCTAGAAATAGATTTAAATCCAGATAGAGATTTGGATCACATGGATGCGGTGGAAATTACACTCTTGCAACGTTATTGGGCTCTCTGTAAGAAGGATGTGTTGGGAGAACAGTTATCCAATTACACATGTCTAGAGGAAGGAGTACCGTATGTAGTTGGAGTGGAAGTTTACTTTGGTGAAGAAGAGAATGATGATATGATGGAGCATTATGTGTTAGTGTTGCGTGATTTAGTGATTCCACACGGTAGCAATACGAGACAAACGAAAAAAGAATTACGTGATCTTCTTGTTGCTACGCATCGCTAACCTGTGAGAGTCGTTTACATATATATATATATATATATATATATAT